CCCCCCCCCCCCCCCAGATTTATGTTCCCTGGTATAGAATTAGGAGGGGGGCAAATTCAAGTCAAACCTCCAATAATTAGATTCTATGCCTGGAAAATTAAAACAAATTTATAATTTTTCCCATATAAAGAATCTAATTAGTGGGGGTCCATCTTATAATCAGGGTAATCTTATATTTGAGTAAATATGGTATTTGACCTCCCTCATTGTCAGAAAGTTCCACCAAATCTCCAACCTAAATTTCCCTTGCTGAAGCTTGAGGCCACTGCTCCTAGTCCTGTTCCTTGTGGCCTTCTCCACCCTCTCCATAATCAACCTGCAGGTATTTGAAGACTTTTATCAAATGTTTCCCTCAGTCTTCTCTGCTCTAGACTAAATAACCCAAGTTCTTTCAACCTTTGCTGACAAATCTTACCTCCCAGGCCTCTAATCATTTTTGTTCCTCTCCACTGAACACTTTCCAAACTGTCCACATCCCTTCTTGAAACATGGGGCCCAAAACTGGACACAGTACTCCAGACATAGCCTGACCAGTACTGAATAGAGTGCAAGAATCACTGTCCTTGATTTGCAAGTGACACTCCCATTGATATAACCCAATATGCTGTGGGGTGTTTTGCAACAAGAGTACACTCTTGGCTCATATTCAGCTTATGGTCTATTGTAATCCCCAGGTCCCTCTGCAGCATTGCAGCCTTGCCAGTCATTCAGCAGCTTGTATCCAGGCATGCAACTGTTCTGTCCCAAGTGCATTTGTCCATGCTGAATTTAATTTGGTTGACTGTGAACAATTTTTCCATTCCAGTCTATCCAGGTTATTCTGAATCCTGGCCCTACCCTTCAGAGTGTCTGCAACTCCACCCAACTTGGTGCTGTCTGCAAATTTGCTAAACCTGCACTCAATCCCATTGTCTAAATCTTTAATGAAGTTCTAAACAATACTGGACATAAATAGACCCCTGGAGAATCTTACCTGATACCTCTTCCCAACTAAACATTGAGCCACTGATGACTAGTCACTGCATACAATGATACAACCTTACATTACTTTCATCTTGCCTGTATTTCCATAACTAATTAATGATGATGTTCTGGAAGATGGTATTATAAGCCATGCTAAAGTTAAGGTATATCACATCCACCGTTCTCCCCCAATCCACCCTATAGAAGGAAATCAGGTTGATCAGGAATGACTTGCTCTTGGTCAATCCACACAGACTGATCCTGATCACCTGTAGATACTTCACAATAGGACCTGCTCCTTGATCTTTCCAGGTATCAAGGTCAGGCTGACTGGTTGGTGGTTCCCCATATCTTCCTTCTTCTCTTTCTTAAAAGATGGATACTATATTTGCCTTTTCCAGTCATCTAGGATCTCACCCAACCTCCATGAGTTCACAAAGATAGTCAATGGCTCTTAAATGACCACAGCCAATTCCTTCTGTTCCTTACGCTTAGGGAATCAATTTTGATTCTGCAGGTTTCACAGACACTGCAAAATCTGGGATTGTCCACAAAATCAACTTTAAAAAAAATCATAAAGTTAAAATGCTGGCTCCCCAGTGGGAGCCAGTGGTCCTTGCTGCTGCTGAGGCCCAGCCTTGCAGCTCACTGGGAGGGAAGACACCAACTGAAAGGGTGACACAGCTTGTCCCTCCTCCCCGATTAGGACCACTGCATCAATCAGTGCCAAGGAGGAGGGCTAGCAGAGAAGTTCTGGTAAATATCTGCAGAATTTTCTCTTTCTGCTACAACCAACCCACAAAAACTGTTTCGTTTCACTATGATTTCAGTAGGTCTCTATTTATGGTTAATCCCATCTGGCCCTGCTGGCTTGAATGTATCTATGTTCTCTAAGTAATCCCTTACCTCTTCCATTAGTCTGTGTTGTTTGCCTCCTTCCCCAGAATGACTCCTTTTGCTCCCAACCCCCCATTTGTGAAGAGTGAAGAAAGAAAGGCATTCAATACTTTAGCCTTTCTTGCATCATCTATAGCTAAATTGCCATCTTCGTTCCATAAGGCTGATTTCTCTGGTCTTCCTCTTACTTGTGACATACTTGTAGAATTCCTTTTTGTTGCCTTTTATGTCCCTTGCCAGCTGCATCTCGAATCGTTCCTTGGCCTTCCTAATTTCTCCCTGCATGCTCTTTCCTGGTACTATGACCAAGTCTCCACTCATTGGCAACACATAGGGGGTGCATGCAGGTGCATGTGCACCCTCTGAGCAAGACGTTGCATCCCCTATGCACCCCTGCCTGTGGGCAGTCACCACTCGCCACCCCCACCCCTTGCTGCCAATACTGCCAGTGGCATCTGCGGGCAGTCAGTGATTGTCACTGGCCACCACCAACGCGGTCTGTGAGTGGTCCCCAAACCCTGGTCAGCACTTGCCACTGCCTCCCTCCCCCTCTCCCCCCTGCACCAACAGCACCGGCGGCATCTGTGGGAGCTCCATGTTTACCACTGCCGTGCCCCCCCAGCCACTGGGGGAACATGACATTCATGTCTCCACTTCTTGTAGGATTCCTTTTTGAGTTTCAACCAACTGAAAAATGGTTGTCAAGCCAGGCTGAACTCCTGTTGCACTTCCTGTGCTACTGTCACATTGGGATAGCTTGCTCCTGCATCCTTAAAAGGGCCTCCTTAAAGTACAGTCATCTCTCCTGGACTCATTTTTCCCTCAGACTTTCCTCCGAAGGGTTCCTGCCTACAAGTTCCCTGAGGTTGTTAAAGTCTGCTTTTCTAAAGTCCAATATCCTTATTCTGGTGCTCTCCCTCCTCCCTTCCCTTGATCTTGAACTCTATCATTTCATTGTCACTGTTACCCAAGTTATCTTCACATTCTAAACCAATTCCTCTCTGTTAGTAGTCAAGTCAAGAAGGGCTCCCCCTCCCCTCACCCCCAAGTTGACCTCTCTGCTGCCTGTACCAAAAAGTTATCCCCAGCACATTTCAGGAATTTGCTGGACTGCTTGTACACTGCAGAGGTCCCAGTTAGTAACATCCCCCTAAGCACCACATCCTGTGATTTGGAAGCATCTGTCATCATTCTAAGATGAGCCAAGTCCCAATGTTTGTACTGAACACACCAAACTGCAAATGTTATTTATCTATTCAGCATTCAATGTCTGGCTTTTGTCTTGGCCTCAATTCTTTATATATTACTTAATATTTTAGACATGTCAAAATTTAATACAGACATAATATTCTTAGACGTATTTAATTAAAAGTGGACTCACCAGTTGGAATGTTCTTATCATCAATAATAAGATGGGCAAAGGGCTGTTTCTCAGGTTTGTTTTTCTTTGAAGGGTTTGACCACGGTGCTTCCATTATAGCTAGAGATAAAAGAAATTGCATTACTTCAAAGAACACATTAGCAGAATTTCAAATGATTCTTATCATAAGCTAGTGCTTACCCTTTTCTGATACTGGTGACTCTCTTCCAGCAATGATCCTTTGTACCTCCTATAATGAAAAAGAACTATTACTTTATTATACTGTCATGTTTTTTCAATATAGCGTACTGCAGATAACACAACATAAACAACCTATCTTGAAATAACGTTTTTCAGCACTGTGTATCCAAGAGTCAAGAACGCTTATTTTCAAGATTGCAGGTTGGGCAATTATTGGGGCAATATTTGAAAATTAAGGATCACACTAATAGGATGATGCCTATAACCTTTTATAATTATTACACTTAGGGTTATTTCTGCAAAAATTACTCAACTATTATAATAACAAGATATCAGCTGCAAAATATTTTTTACACTGAATGATAGGGTTTGTGGAACAATTTGGATCTACAGGGGCCAAATAGTACCATAAAGAGGCAGCTCTGTGTAGAGACCAGCATGTGGTTTCAGTCTAAAAATGTAGAGAGGCTGAGCATCTTGACTGAACCACTCTGTATGGGCAATCAGGCAGGACAGCAATCTTTCTCCTTCACAGCCAGCCAATTATGTGGTCTCTTGCAGGAGAACAATAATCCTGCCTCCTTTGGGGTAGTTTGCGTTCCTGTTTGCAGGGATAGCTGCTTACTCTCAAATTAATTCTGGACTGCAGATGTGCCTGGCCCCTGATAGAGTACACAAGAATAAGATGGGAAAGGCATCTTGCACATCCATACATGAGGCAAGCAGTCTGGACATCTGTGAAAGCAAGTGTTAATTAGAATGTAGGTGAATCTTATTAAAAATAAACTGTTACTATTGGCCAAAACCATGCCTAGCATGACCTAGAAATATATAAGTTGTGACTGTACCCACACTCCATTCCTACTCTTCTTTTGAACCAATACAGACTAACTTTATAAGCAAAGTCTTGGAGGTAAGGAGATGACTGACCCAGGAGTTAGAGGTTCCGTTCCCATTTCTACCCTAGAATCATGTACCATACAGCAAGTCCCTTTAATTCATTTTGCCTAAATTCCTCTCTGTAAAATGGGGATAAGACTCCCTTCTTTTTAATCAGATTATGCATTGTTTGGGAGAGGCTTGCTAGGCTTGTCTAGTACCTAGCATAACATGAATACAATTCTGTTGGTCTTCAGGCACCACCAAATAGCAGTATCATCAGACTTTGCAACCTGGACATCATAAATCATTTGCTCATCTTTGAGATTTCTCAATGCCTTCTATGTCTTTACACTTCAGATTAAAATCTTTGTCTTAGAGACTGACAAAATAAATTAAAATAACACTTTTTGTTATACACTACTTTTACCATTTGTTCTCTTGCCAGTTCTGAATATTTGGTGTCTGCAATCAATCCCAGACATTCATCCCAATTAGAAATGTTCCACTGTATTCTGAGTCACTGATTTCTTGCGGTGTTCCAAAGATGTTAATTCAGCTTTTAAATATCAATTGAAGTGTGGCTTTTATGTAACTTTGCAACCACAGTGTAATGTGCAAGAACTTACTCGGTGCATATAGATATGCTCACTTTCTCCTTTCAATACATTAGTCAGTAGGCGTTTAAATGTTAAACCAAATGGAAAGCCACAGCGACATGAAAGTTGTAGTATGACTATCAAAGTACAGTATTTTAGCCGTGAAACACATGATTTTGTAGATAAGATAATTAAGACAATTTCTATCATACAAAAGAGCAAATAAGCAGGCAAACTGCAACTTCAACAAAAATGCAAACGTGTTCCTTACTCAGTGTCAGTGGGAAGATATAATACATTCCCCTCTCTGGTTCTTTTGTTTTTGTATCAGTGAAGTCATTTCGTATTAGAACGTGTAGGTGAAATGCAATCTATGCATTAGTCACACAAACCCGGACAGAAAACTCTACCTGTGCTAATCTGAATGATGAATACGAGCCTCCACCCACCCACATACACCACTTAACCTCTTTTAAAATGATAGGAGCAGTAACTGGGGGGGTACTGGATACTGCATTGTGTTAATAGATATAAAACTTCTAGAAAGAATACAGTTGTGTGAGGGTAGGGAGTTTTGGAAAGTGCGCTGATGGCCAGACCCTCTGAGAGGATGCCCCCACAATGCTCAGACAACCAGTGAGCAGCAGAGGTCCTTAACCTCTTCCCTAGAAAGATCCCTTCTGAGCTTGTTGTTTTCATGTGTCTTTTTTTCCTTATGAGTAATCTGGGGATTTGATGATTTAGTCCAAAATATGAAGGTTAGGAGTATTTACTGCAAATCTTGACTGACGCACAGTAAGACAGAAGACAACTAATTACTTATCTTGTACCAAGAGCTCTAATCAGCCACCCATGAGGCCACACTCACCCCAAGGGTGCCCATACACAAGCAAGGAGGCTGCTCCTATGCTCTGTAATTCCAATTAATTGAGTCTGCTGGAGCGTGACAGTTACCGTGCTCCAGAAGCCTCCAGTGCCTCATGTATCACCATCCCTGTGCTTTAAAATGGCAGTGGAGGCGTTTTATGTAAACCTCATACATGAGATACTCTGGGTTTTTAATTAGAGCGACTCTCAGAGCCATTCTAATTAACCTGCCCCCCACCCCAACTCCTGGAGCATGTGTATAAATGCCCCAATTGTCTAGATGGAAGATATCTGATGTAGGGACAAAATCCCTTCTTGCTTGCCAACCAGAGTTCATCTACCCTGTCACAGATATACTCATATTGTTAATAAATAATGATAATCTCACAAATATTTGCAGCACACTAGATAGAGCATGTATGAAACAGGCATTGGAACAAGTTAAAACCCCAATTCATGTTAATTTTCAGATCAGATACATATCCAGTCTTTTATTGTGGATACTTAATACCAATTAAAAGTCAAAAACCCCCACTGATCTTAAGAGATTATTGCAGTTTTCTACCTATTAAAATACAGTACAATTTTTTTTTATTATTTTACAGATTCTACACACATACACATGCACTTATTTCAAAATTTAGAGTGCAAGGATTAAATTACCCCCAGGGTTTGTTCTAATCAGTGTTAAAAGCTGTAAGATGCTGTAGTTACTGCATATTTTTAATGTGTGGTGCATTTCACAGAAACAAGGAAAATAGGGCTAGAAAGGACCTCAGAATGTCATCTAGTCCAACCCCCAAAACAAAATGGAGGCCCCAGCCAGGTCCATATTTGTAAAGCAGAATAATGCTTTCGAGAGTATCCTATCTATGCAGTGAATTTTTTTTTATAACATTCATATCACTGCTGGGTTATCAGATACTGTAGCAGTAAATCGCCACTACAGCAGCCTAACAATTGTAGCATTTTATATAAACGGCCTATTTTATAGAGTTGCATCCCTATTTCATAAACTGCTTCATTTCTTTTCTTAACTACAAGATAACATTGTACACCAGCTAAGCAATCAAATAGCCACAGAATGTTTATATTTGCTCTTGAAAGAGCTGTCTGACAGTAATGTTATGTCCTGCAGAAAACTCAGAAGGTCCTTATTTACCTTTCACCTGAACATGGTTTTACTTTGAAAATCTGTTAGGAGTTTCCAGTGATCATAATGCTTAACAGCTCCATAACTGGGGAGGCTGTCCGGTCATGCCCTATATTTAGCCCTTCATTTTGAGATCATAATTTTACTGCAAACAGAGGTTGTCTTGTGGGTTTGATAGAGATTCATGGAACACAAAGCAGAGAGAAAGTAAAGACAGAACAGTGGTATTGTTAATAAAGAAAATGTGCTGTCTTGCCCCAGCATTTCTGTTGATGAGAATCTAAAGCTGTTGGTTCCCAAGTTCCATAAATGTGAAGGTATTGATTCAGGCCTCAGCTCAGAAAAGCACTTAAACACACAAATTGCCATGGACTTCGGAACAGCTTAAGACTAGATTTTTAAAAGTATTTAGGTACTTCCACAAAATCTGGCCAATGAAACCTCTTCAAATTACTCTTGTCAGCAGAAGGCTCATTGCCAAGCTGTTAAGCTATTTTTAGAAAGCTGTACACAAACACACTCTGAAGCGGTGACCACGTGATAAATTGCATTTGTTCACCTATGGCTGCGTCACTCATCCTCTGCCCACTAATTCATTTCTACTGGTTTGCTTCCAAGATTCCACACGTCAGAGCACCTTTGGGCAGCCACTGTTTGAATGACAAGCAAGCAGCCACTCATTAAAAAAAATGTTGTTCTTTAAGTTCTGCAATGGCCCAGGGGCAGATTTTAAAGTGTAGTAACTCATAAACCATTAGGGAATAAATAATTTCATTCTGCTTGTTAGATAGATGATAGCTAGCTAACTAGCTATAGCCCTAAAAATTACAAGTAAAATTTTCAAAATACATCTCATTTAAGTAGGCCAGGTCTCATCATAATTTTGAAAAATGTATTGCTATGCCTAGAAAAACAATTTTAGATTAAAGCTATACCAAGTATGAGAACCTACAAATTATTATGTTTGATAGACTTTGTGGGATTTCCTACCCCATAATCTAGACGAAAGGGATTTGAATACATCTGAATAAGCATCCAAGCTTGAGGCCTAGCAAAATGGACCCTTTTAACATTCTCGTGTATTATTCTAAAGGTGACCTCAAGCTACCCTTAAACTACTAGATTTTCTGCTACCATATCTCTGCTTTCAAAACTAACTGGTACCCAGAAAAGCCACATCTGATTATGTTGCAGGAAATTCAGTGCCTTGAAGAATTTTTTAATCAGGACGGAAATGAAATAGAAAGTGCATGAAGCAGTATTTTTCAGAAGCAAGTATAAAGACCTTTAACTCAGATTCACATTTGTCTCCCAACAACCTACACCTAAAACACTTGGATACTAAAAGTTCAAGATCAGGATTAAAAATGTTGGACAACTTGTAGTAGTTACCAGGGATCCTGTTTTTGTCTGATAAAAAAAAATCCCCAATATTTGCAATAATAAAGTAACCCAAAATCCACATTTTTTCATAATTAGAATGAAACCCAACTATATATACATCTATATATTAGAGGTGTTTCATTTTAATCATGTGGATTAAAATGTGGATTTGGGGTTACTTTTTCAGTCTGAAAATTAGGTTTTTGGGTTTTTTTTTACCAGAGAAAACCAGGATCCCTAGTAACTATTATCTAAATCTTCAGTCCAGATTAGGTTATTCATAACTTTATGCACTTAGAATGTTTGTTAAGTATATACAGTCTCTTTATAAGGGCTATCTTGGAGGTCTAGCAGTAAAGTGTTTTGTTGCCAAGTGAAAAACTAGTTCAGGCCTGAACTCCCCAAGCTGCCAGGGGCTGGGAGCACTGCCAAAACTGTTATTTCATGAACTGCCTCCAGATATGTTTGTAGTTCTCACTTTACTGCCAAGTTTATTATGAGAGACTTCAGAAAGTGCGGTCAGTGCATCTGGATTGCCAAAGGGCTTTTAGGGTTACATACAAAAATAAAATAAAATCAAGATTAGCCAGACAAAAAACCATATAATGTGCCTACAGTAGTTTAAATGTGCTGCCACTGAAGTTGCTCTCACCCAGAATATGAGAATTAGTTTAGGCCTAAATACTATATTGTACAAAATATTAATTTAAGTGTCTTTTATAAAAATAAAGTCTTGGTTCCCACCATTAAACTATTCTCTACAAAGTTCCCACAGCCTACAGGATGAGAGCACTTAGATACTTCCAGCATCAGCCCCGATTTTGGATTGAAGTCTGTATGGGCTAGAAAGCACAACCTGACCATAAAGACTAATTAAACTCACTTGCCCAAACTGCGTAGCAAGGAGAAAACAATCACGAATGGCAAAAAGTAAATTAGATTTTAAAATGTTCCATTTCCATAACATAGGGTGTAAGCAACACAAATTAAGAAATGTTAAAAGAGTACTTGGGACTATGTTCCCACTTGGAAAACTAAGCACAAAGAATTCAGGAAAACCTACTGCTTATATAAGGGGCTACTTTCACCCGACAGAAGATTCCATCAGTTTTCAGCTGATTGGTGCATGAGAGTACTGTAAAAGAAGGTAGCACAGGCCAAAGAAATCTGAACCATGATTTTAACTTGCCAATGGCCCTTTGGCATTTACATGATCAGCTGATTCAGGTGGAGTGATGTTCATTTAATGTTACCATATTTCCAGGTCCAAAAAAGAGGACACCTGTGGAGGGGGGGAAGAGAGGGG